TTGTTCTACCAAATCTTGTTACACATTCCTGTGTATATTTTTCAACTTTAAATAAATGTGTTTGAAAATGTGTTTTAATGCTATGTGAGAGTGTAACATGGAGACATGACCACTTTGTTTTGTAGTTCTGTTCTTTCAATATCAGCACTTTCTTTTATTAAGGTGCTGCTTAATAAAGAGTACATGATGGGAGATTTGCACAGGAGGGTGTCCGGCAAAATCTCGAAGTGTCTGACTGTTTCTCACATTCTTATAGCTTCGGCCCCCTTCCAGACTAAGCCTAAGTTATGACCTTGGCTTCCTGTGCAGTATGTTTTGTTCTTTCTAATCAGACAAATAAGGCCATGATTCTCTGCAAACAGTATTTCTTATAAATCAGTAGTATCATGCATCATAAAACAGTGCAATATCCCCTTCGAGTTTTTCATCTGGGAATAAACAATCAATTACAATCAAACAATCAATCTGCTGGTCCCTCTCTAGTCTAAACAACAGTGTTTCAGTAACTTTCCACTAGAAGATGGTCCCCTCTTATCTACTTTCTCCCAGGCAAGCGTGAGCAAGAGTCTACAGCTTTCTACCCCCAAGGACACGTAGTCTAATGCCTTTATTTTCAGGGCCGTGTCGACTTAATACGGCACTTTATGGTTATATGGCATTTTAGTTAATATAAAGCATAGCATGGAATTCCATTCCAACAATCCCTTCTGAAATTGTTGCTTGTTTTTCTGTAGCTCGCTCCGGAGAACACTGTGATGTCTTTTGAGAAGGCAGTGGAAGCTGGAGGAGAAGGACTGGAGACTGATGTCACCATCAGGTGTGTCATCCTACTGATTTTTTTTTTATCTCACTCTTTTATTTATGGAGCATGTGAATTGCACACAGTAATGTCACTGCTGTAAAAACAGATAGATCTTGAATTTAATCTGCAAAATTCATTATAAACTTGACTTCCTGGTTACAAGGACCAGTCTCAGTGTTACAGAGTTACTTAAAGTAAAATGTCCCAGCAGGTCTGATGGTGCTGAGGATAACTGCTGGTTCAAGCTAGTTCAGATGCACCACTTGAGCTGCGTCGTATTGTATGCCCATAACAAGCGTAGCAGTCTTTCTTTCTTAACCCTCCTGTTATGTTGGTTTCCAGGAACACCGATTATGCTCCTGGGTTAATTTGACCCGGGGCAAATTTACTCATCCAAAAGTGTCAGAAACACTGGCATTGATTATTTTACAATTTTCTTTTATAATTTAGATTTTTTTCGTTTTCTGTAATGATGCAGATGACATGTGACATCTCTTCTGTTCTGGGTCAATCTGACCCGCAACATAACAGGAGGGTTAAGCTGAAAATTTCCCATCTTTCACTCTAATATGTCAGTACTACTGCTACGTCAACCCCTCCACCACCCCAGCATCCACCTATAACCTCTGACAGGATGTGTTCTCACCAGTCATACATGCTGGCATATGCTTTATTTATCTCAGAGGCTTATTTGGTGGGTTATTTGTTTGCTGACAATAGGAAGAATCAGTGAATAAGTGTGTCTCACACCAAAAGTGTGAAAGTTTGGAACCTGGCATGTAACTTAAAATCCAGACTGCAGATGGCACGAAAAGATTGCTCATCTAAAGCCAGCCTCACATTACAGGATTACAAAAACTCATGACTGCAATCGGTGCATCCTTTGATACTGACTGTTACCTCTGGGCGTTTCCTTAATGGTAAAATGATCAGATCAATCAGATCAGGTGATCAGTGAACTACAGCCGAGTCTCTTGAATTATACAGATCAGATGCTAGCACGCTCCTCTCATTGCTGAGGTGATTACTGCCATGCTAATCCAATTAGCGGTGAGCACTCCCGTGAGCCTACAACCAAACGTTTAGCGCCATTTTACAACCTGAAAACAGGAGGATCAGCTGCATGGCTCAACATCAGCGGGTTAGCTTAATCCAGTGCTGTTGAGTCTGGTGGTGCTTTCATAAGAATGAGTTGTATTTCTATGTTGTGCATGATACTGGGCTCCTGTTGTGTAACTACACTATATAATGTCTTTCATAAGGTGAGCTTTCTGGTAGGAGTGCAGCGATTTCTTTTTTTATTCCTTCAGCCACATCAACAGATTTGTGAAAGAGGATTGAAGCTCAATAAGTGCAACTTACTGAGAGTCTGTAGGGCAGATTCTGGGGTTCAGTTTGTATCATAAATCTACATATTGTTGTTATGAAGTCATATTATCAGTGCTGACCAGTGAATCTGGTCATCCTTACTGCCTCTTCACTTCCTCTTCCCTTGTATCACTTACCCTTCATCTTGGAGTCCTACTTTTCCTTCTTGAATCCTCGTGTTGAATCCTGAATATTTCTTTCTGTCTGTAGTTTTGATGGCGTTCCCTTCCTGATGCACGACTCCACCCTGAAGAGGACCACTAACATCGCGGAGGTTTTCCCAAACAGGACACACCTCGACGCCTCCATGTTCACTTGGACCGAGCTGCAGCAGTTGAACGCTGGTGATTGGTTCTTATCGGTATGACCAGCACGCACGCAGCTCAACACAGAACAACAGCAGCATGTTGTTGGCTTAGAAATGCATCATCTGTACAGAAACTACTGAAAGAAACACATTCCTACAGATATTTAGAATTCACAAATGTTGTTTGAGTTCCTGCTTGCAGTGACCGACAGATAAACAACTAAGCCAAAGAAAAAGACAGAAAATGTCCCTCTAAGTTAAGAGCAGGTGAAATTCAACCTGATTTTTTTTTTCCTCTCACCATCACTCTGCTTCTCACTTGCAGAGGGATCCGTTTGGCACCGTGTCATCCCTCTCTGCGGCAGACCGCTCCCAGGCCCAGAACCAGTCTATTCCCTCACTGGTCCAGTTCCTGGAGGTAGCGGCCCGAAGTGGTAGACTCGTGCTGTTCGACCTGCGCAGGCCACCGCTTGGACACCCATACAGTCTGTCATACATCAACACCACTCTACAGGTGGTACATGCCCACATCAACTCCTCGCAGGTAACTGATCAGGATTAATGTATCTGCACTTTGATTTAAAGATAACGTTAAATTGGTTTAATGGGGATATTTTTGGTTTCAGTCTAAATGCAATCAGTGCATTTATTTTTCCTATTGTTAATTTTTCCTGGTGTTGTTTGCTCACTGTGTTATGTGTGGCTGTAGGTCCTGTGGCTGCCATCTGAAGACAGGGACCAGGTCCAGGCTGTGGACCCACACCTGCAGCAGACCTCTGGAGAAAAGGCTTCTATCCAGGAGTTGACAGACGGACACATCACCAGACTGAACCTGCACTACAGCACCATGTCTCAGCAACAGATCCGGTACAGAGCTGATAAACGGCATACATTAAACGTCTGTCTTAGGCAGTTTTAATTAAAGATTGTTAATCACTGCAGCGGTAATTATTTCAGAGTTTCTTCAGATTTGGGTTGTATTCGTGTCAGGAGAGGCCACATGCTCACACTCATGAATTATTAACCAATACCAGGGCTGTTAATTATTTGAATTGTCATTTTAACTTGCATAAATTACTCAAACAACACATTAAAGATAAAACAAATATTAACCAACACAATTTTAATTGTGAGTTTAATTATAATCAAGCAGATATAAATAATAGCATTCATTTAAATGTATTGGCTGTCATCTTTGTGACAAACAAACAGCAACACAATCAGCTGCTTCTTCAGGTTTTGCCTGACCCGATGAGCTCCGTCTCCACTGTCCTGGTGATGGAAGTTCTGCTCTGTGTTTCTTCTTTTTATGCACCGCAGAAAAACTATTCATGCAAAATCGGATTTCTAAAATACAAATTAAACATGGTTATTTGTACAAGTCTGTAAGTTCAGACTAGAAAAACAACAACAGATATAATGGCCTGCACATAGTTCAAACATTCAATTATGCAATCACATCCATCTAGTGGCAAAACAACCCTATTTATACCAACTGAGAGAAAGTTGACATTTTGAATTGGTCTCTTGTGTTTGTGCATGTGTGCAGTTATGTAACCCAGATACAGATGGACGCAGCATCCTCAGTGACTCCATCTCGGTGCTTGTAGAACAACCTCAGGGAAGTGAGAGGGAGATAAAGGGCAGGTGTGAGAGATGCTCATCGCTGAAGTGAGGAGAGGAAAGTGTGGATAAAGAGGAATTTGTTCAGTAGAGGCGTGAAGGAAGCAGTGGAGGAGGTACAGACGGGTCCAGCTGAGAGGAGAATAAGAGAGGGAGGTAGTTGTACAGTAACAGTAGCTGTGGGAGAACAATCTGGAAAGAAAGATGGTGGAGTGACTCACATACAGACAGTTTTCAACACAACTTACACAGGCGACTGAAATAATCTTCCACTGTTACAACTGATTCATCTTCATGAAAACGTTTCAACTGTTCTTTGTCACCAACTAGAGGTGACGGGTGGAATGAGTCATACTGTTATTGCCTGATAGGTTTTAATCAGAGCATAAAGCATGCGGTCAAACTTTTACAAGTCTTTTACAGGCCACTGACTCACTGGAAAAACTGCAGTAGAATGTATGAATACCAGAGTTAAACTTAACAGCTTTCTTTTTCATCAGTAACAGTCTTTCATTAAATTTAAGGCTGCAAATGTGTGGAAAAGTTAATCCCTCAGAAGCCCACGTCTTTGTTGGTATGAGCGTGCATTAGTGCAGATGGAATTGGCAGCTTGCACATTTGGAAAAGCCCGATCAATGCTGACAGGTTTCAGAGCAGCATGCGCTCCCATCCAGGCGATGTCTCTTTGTCAGAGAAGGCTTGGCATGCTAAACTGCATCTCTCTCTCTCTCTCTCTCCCCAGAAAGTACCAGTCAGTGAACATCAGCACTAACCTGTATGTGATCAGCCAGCCTTGGCTCTACACACTGGCCTGGTGTGCTGGAGCGCAGTCCGTGACCACCAACTCCATCCACATCCTGTCCAACATCAACAAGCCGCTGTTCCTGATGGTGAGCAGATTCAAACCTCCAATTCTTTTATGAGACATATTAGACTTTATTAACCTCCTAGGACCTGGCGTCCACATATGTGGACATCAAATGTTGGGTTGTCTAGGCCAAAATACTACATTTTGCTCTACAAGGGCCTGATATCTAGGGATGGGTATCGTTTAGGTTTTATC